GTGCGGACCTCTTAGTAGCTCTTATATCTAGTGCATCTCATCGCTAGTTAGAGCAGCGATCGTTCAGCGCCAACATTCAAAAAACTGGTGGGTTACCAATGATGAGAGTATCGTAAGATCCACGCATCTACAAAAGGAATCGTCGGTGTGATTGAAAGAATTCTTCGATAAGGTGATTTTCTGCCTAAAAAACGCTGTAAACGATACATATCCATCGACGAATACGAGCACCGTGTGTGTGTGTGCAGAGAAAGAAGAGGGGAATGAAAAAAATCACAGCATTCTTATATTTTCAGCGTGGGGTTGAAAACCCTAAAATGAGAACCCTGACATATGGAGTTCGACGTAAAATAGTGCGGTGTAAACCATTGAATAAGCTGTTAAACGGAAAATCCGAAGTAATTGAACTATCAGAAGATCATAGCGATCTAAGACAAAAAAGGATATAGGATATAGGAGGCCACAAAGGACTGAGATGGCTTGCTAATAGCATATTCAAAAACAAAAGCTGCCGGCGTTGATCAATCCCTGAGGGATGCACCATGCATTCAATTTCACTAAGCATCGTTTCGAGGAGAGTGAATGTATATGTGGCCCTTACAATGGCTCGCAGTGGCCTATCGTTGTATCGAGCTAGCACTGATAACCTTCCAGAAAAGTCAGGTACCAATATGCCGACCCCGGAAGGATGGAAGGCTTTGTTGCGGCGATGAGCTCCCAACTTTATATGAATACCAAGTCGTCGTAAATATTAGTCCTTGTAGCTGCCACGCGGGACTTCTTCCGTAATTGTCGTGAACAACCTCGAGTTTGGTTACAATAGTTTATTGCAATTACAATTGTACAATAATAATATCTGGTATGTGGTGATATGTGGCTAAGTGGGTATATACGAGCGAGACTGAAATGGGAACAAGCGATGCAGTTGAAGGAAATTAGGTAGACACTAGAGTTGGAGCACTGAGGAACTGAGAGATTGGACGAATACCGGACGAACGCTATGAATGCTTAAAGACGAATCCCCGTGGGCTGCTTGTATTCCTTCCGTAGTGGGTGGAGCCTTGCCAGAGGGAACTAAAGACAGCGCCTAGAGAGTGGTTCTAAAGGCTTTTTCTACTAGCACAATCTGATAGGGCTAAATGTGAAAGGGCGCAGCTGCTTGTTCGGAAACTTCTTTGGGACGGCCGATGCTGGAAAGTACATTCAGCAGCTGGCTGCTGCTGATTCAGTGCCCGAACTGCGGACAAATAAGGGGAGTTTATTGAAAGAAGTTGTAGAATCCCTTTCCAGCCACCTGCGAGGCAACTGCATGAGATAGTGCCTAAGAGACAACTAAGAGAGGATGTGAAGATAGATTTGAGATAGTTACAAGTGAACAAGAAACACACACCGATATAGAAAATTAGGAATAAGGTCACCGGAAGCAGTATTTGAGATGTCTTACACAGAGAACATTCCTATGTTGATGAATAATGTTCTCTATAGGCTTAGTGGTCCATGGACGCTGTGGTGGATTCCACGTGTGTGTTGCAGAGCGCCTCAGACCACTGCGCCACACGCGCCCTAATCTAAGACATAGGAAAATAGTTATACATGGTATCAACTATAACATGATCCCTAGCAGGTGTTGAACTCACGTTGGATTCTTTTCCAATGAAAATTAAAGTTAGTGGTGGCAAACCGCACTCGGCCGGAAATATATTCTGTTGCCTCATTGTTGCGTTTGCATGTTTAGTTTTTGACTTCATTAGTTTTCGCAAACCCTTAAGATCTACCGCTTGGTTTCCAAATGTTTGCAAAGGTTTTCATTATATCCGTGTATACTCTAATCCAGTTCCTTCTTGTTTTAATTCCTATTCGCTGAACTTGTACTGAATGACTAAGATTCTTACTGACCATTTGTTACCTTTGACATTACCTCTGTGCTCCACCAAAGAACGCCCTACCGAACGCATCCTTTGTTCTCCGACGAGGCGCACGTCGCTTGGCCCTCTGCCAAAGGCCCACGTCATGGTTTCGCGCCAACATCGAAGAGGGAGCGACCTATGTGTTATGTTGATAAGCCGTAGTCACTTCAGAGGCTGAACAATGGGTCACGATGCAATCGGGAAGTGGGTCATTTTCTATGTAAAACGAGTGCGATTACATTTTCAAAATGTTGTTCGAACGCGGGTCCTGTTGGTCAGCAAACGGTCCTCCTTGAGGGAACTGCGCACGGCTTTATCGTGTGGATCGAGTATCATTACACCATTAAGCTATTAATTTCATAGAAAACTTCATCATGTATGGTTGAACCACACCGAAACAAGAAATCACTTTATTTTTTACTAACAGATATGTTAAAATTCACGTATTTCGCTCCAAATGTGGCCCTAAACAGTGGCTAGTTGTGTGCACCAGAGCCAAACAATTTACCTGCTCCAAATATGCGTCGTGATGGCCTTAGCCTACTTTTCATCCAGTGATGGAAAGGGCTCTTGGTGATCCGGAAAACGCTGCACTCATTCCCTTTATTTGATTTTCTTCTTGACCTTTCACTACACGCCTTTGATTTTGATTTCAAGTCTTTCCTTGATGGAAAATGAAAAGAACATGTGGGCACTATGAGGTAAAGAAGTAGACCAAATCAATAATGGCTTATCGTAAGTGAATTGAATCGTTTCAGGGATATGTTTTCAGAAGGTGTTCGATGATGTGACTTTCTTAAGCACTGTTTACCAGAATAGCACCACTGAATCGATGCACTCATCATCCTTTCATTTGTTTACACAAATAAACGCTAGAATCTGAGACTTCCCAGTTCCTCTAGAGACTATGGTAGTAGTGCTTAAATCGAATCATGAACATCAACAATTCTCGGAAGCTCTCACAAATAATCTAGGCGCATAGAAATAGAAAATTTATCTCCTACTAATAATGGCAGCGATCAACAGTGTTCGAAACGATCCGACTTAGAACACATGACCGCAAAAGAAGAACAGAAAGAAGAAACGAAGTGGTCGATCCATGTTACTGAAGAGAAGCATGCGATTAGAATGAGAACCGTATTTTCTTGACGTTATTTCATTTCATTTCAGGCGCAATTCAAGGACAACAAATCATAGATTTCAATATTTATTTTAGAACCTCATCTCAAGTCATGTAGTCGACTGCGATTGTGGCCCTGAAGAGGGCCGTTGGGTTAGAGTTAATGGCTCACGGCGAATAGGACTTATTCCTTTTCCCCACCAGTCTTCTTAGGCAGGAGAACAGCTTGGATATTGGGAAGAACTCCTCCTTGAGCGATCGTCACACCTGAGAGCAGCTTGTTGAGCTCCTCATCGTTGCGCACAGCGAGTTGGAGATGGCGAGGGTTGATTCGAGTCTTCTTGTTGTCACGTGCAGCATTGCCAGCCAATTCCAGTACCTCAGCAGCAAGGTACTCGAGTACGGCAGCCAGATAGACTGGAGCACCACCTCCGATACGACCAGCATAGTTGCCTTTGCGAAGCATACGATGAAGTCGACCAACAGGGAACTGCAGGCCGGCACGAGCCGACCGCGACTTGGATTTGCCTCCGCTCTTCGCTTTGCCTCCTTTACCGCGACCAGACATTACGACAACGCTGTGAGATGCGAGTACTCACTGATGACAATGCGGGCCCACCTCACTCTGTTAAAGAGGATGTTGCGCGTTAGAACCGCCCATTCACAGGTGGAGCTAGACCATAATCGTGGAGGCGGTACATGTCGATTGCGCCGGTATAAGAATGGGGACGTTCGAGCAGTTCCTTATTCAGTGACTACCCAGTGAACACTCGACTCGTCATGCCACCAAAGCCGTCAGCCAAAGGAGCGAAGAAGGCCGCTAAGAGCCAAAAGGCCAGTCGTGCTGGAGACAAGAAGAAGAAGCATCGTCGGAAGGAGAGTTATTCCGTTTACATTTACCGTGTACTCAAGCAGGTTCATCCCGACACCGGAGTTTCGTCGAAGGCGATGTCCATCATGAACTCATTTGTGAACGACGTGTTCGAACGTATTGCTGCTGAGGCTTCGCGTCTTGCACACTACAACAAGCGATCAACCATCTCCTCCCGCGAAATCCAGACCGCTGTCCGATTGATCCTCCCAGGAGAGCTTGCCAAGCATGCTGTCTCCGAGGGTACAAAGGCCGTCACCAAGTACACCTCGAGTAAGTAAACTGCTTGGTTTTGGTGCACATAACTAACCCAACGGCCCTCTTTAGGGCCACAATTGCAGTGAAATATGAGAACTTTCACATATCTGTTAGTACCTAATAAAGTGATTTCGTGTATCGGTGTAGTTCAATCACACATGTTAAAGTTTCCCAAAACATTAATAGTTTAGCGATGTAATGATACGCGATTTACACGGCGAAACCGTGTGCAATTCCCTCAGAGGGACGTTTAAGCCTTTGTTGGCGAAGACAACCGTATTCAAACGACGGCTTGGAAATACAACAGTGGGCGTCCCACATGAAAAATGACCCATTTTTCGGTTGCGTTCGGATCCATTTGCCGGCCTATTAGGTGACCACTGTTCAACCGTATTACGCCTTGCCATTCTCCGTTCGAATTTTGGGGCGAAAGCATGGCGTGGGCCCTTTCCAGATCACCAAGTCGTCTGCCCTAGCTTGAAGAACAGAGAATGCGGTAAGCAGGATGTTTTCTGAATGAATTCGCAGAATAATGGTGGACACTACAAGTTTAGTGTATAGGAATTAGGGAGATTAGGCTAGATCAGATGAAACGCGGGTATAATGCACAGGTTTATGTTAGTCTGGAAACTTACTGCTAGATTTGAACCAGTGAGAACTACTGGAATTGAAAAAGTGCTCCTTTTCACTCCAGATTTATTGGTTTTCAATTTTTTTTCTATTATCACCACTTCTTCAAGTGGAGTCTGTTTCTGTGCTACTGTGGATAACTGAGCCGAAACCGATGTGGTTTCAAACACTTTCTGTCAGCAACGGCACTGTTCAATAAGTTGGTGTTTTCCTCTCCAGCAGATATGAGGTCGTAAGTAACAAGGCTTGCTCAATAGAGGTTGACTTTCTAGCGATTTCGCCTTTTCCAGAGTGGTTTTGCTCTTTGTAAGTGTTCTAGTTAATCGCTGGAGACCAGTCACCTAGAATCTAACACGGTGAGAAATCCTTAGAGGGCGAAACCGCCGAAACGTCGGCCGGCACTGAATGAATGCCCCTTATCCGTCCTTTCAGCGGCACTCCTATTTTCGACAAAGAAAAAACGAGAAATCATAACGTGTTCAGAGTTCATCAATCGCTGAGGTTTGCGTCATGGCCTCGAGTCCATCGATTCCCCAATTTGATTGGTATTTCTGTTCTCCCAGACAAATTTGGCGGCAGTTTACCGATCCTGAAGGGATGGAAGGCTTTGGGAGAGAGCGGCAACATCGAATGGGCCATCAATACAGTGTCAATATTGCAAGCCGTTTCCGACAACTAATAATTCCTTTGTCCTCATTCTGAAAATCAAAGCAAAGGCATCGACGTGTCCAATGAAAAACGCAGAACCTTTCTCACGTCTCTTCGAATTTTGGCGCGAAACCAAGGCGTCGGCGCTTGGCAGGCGGGCCAGATGGCCTAGCGTCGGTGCTTGGCAGGTCGCCAGGTGACATGGCCGTCGATGAAAAACAGAGGCTTGGGTCACAATGTTTTTNTTTTTGATGGGACGCAGCAAATAAAAAGGACGTGATGGATTAGTTCAGATCTTCATTGTATAATGGAGGATACAGTTAATAGAATCAATACAGAAAAGATGATTCAGAGATGAGAGGATATATTATCATAATACAGTCCGGTCCACTCTAGTCCGCTGCTGGACTTTCTTAGTACTCCAAGGCAAAACAGGTCCACCAGCACTCAACGACGGAAAGTGTCATTCATCACGGAAGGAAAGTGTCCAAACAGCGCCCGAAAATTGGAAGACATCCCTGGACAATAGATGCGAGGGAACGAATCGAATGCAATAAGTGCTGGGATCCACATAATAAATGTGAAAGAGTTGTGTCAAGAAAAATTTGCTAACAACCTAATATAGAAGTCACTATCAGCTAACTCTGCTTAGGATACCTCTGAGTGCTCTGATTCCTCATGCTAGCCATGCGATCTAATAGAGAACTTATCTTCTCGTATCCAGAGTCCCGAATCACAACTCACCCAACTTTTATGGTGTTACTTGTGAAACACCTGGTCGGACGACGCCTATATACAGAACGCTTGGGCATTTTCTTGTTGGTCGTACCCGATTAGGTACGCTCTAGTATTCCCTCTTCTTTGCCGTGACGATTTTGTCAAGATTAAGATTAATGCCTTTCTCACCGAGGTTTCATATCTGAATAGTGGAGCGTCGTAGGACGTAGTTTATTATTAGCATACGTCACCATCCCTCTATTGATAAAGCTATGTGATTTGCATGTGTGTGACAACACAATGAGTAAGAAACTTTCCTTTTTCCAATACTGCCTAGTAAAAATTATGGCGATTTCCCGACGACCCAGAAAAATTCTGTTATTGCCGACATTTCCGTGAGAACGACGCAACCTCGTACAAATCGCTGACACGCATTATCGAGTCCTATTTTTCGAGAAAGAGTTTTTCTCCCTATGAAAACTTCTGGAAAAGTGTAGTCGCGAACGATTACGTTGTATGCGTGAGTGGCTGGGCGTGTTTATACATATAGATTGTTGTTTTTTTCATGTGCGTGTGTGGCGGCGTGTGTGTGTGTGTGTGTGTGTGTGTGTGTGTGTGTGTGTGTGTGTGTGTGTGTGTGTGTGTGTGTGTGTGTGTGTGTGTGTGTGTGTGTGTGTGTATCTCTTTGTGCCGGTTGGGGTTGTGTGTAAGTGTACAGCATAGTCAGTACTAACTTTCGATTTGGAATCGCGAAACAATTTCTCATCATGGAAAACTATATTGGTGGTTTAACGAATAGAAATGCACATATATTGATAACGCTTTCTTGTAACTCTGACATTCTTGATATTTCAGTGCTGGTAGACCTTGTAATGGAGGAAGACGGTCGCTCGAGAGAGACAGAGAGAGACGAGTGAAAAATCTGACCAGGAATTCACGGTGTGTGTAAACTAACCATTCAATCACCCTCTGTCTTATTTTAAACTGATCGCTTACTAACTTGTTGAAAATTGGAGCGAAAGACACCTTTTACACTCGGCGCTTCTAGAGAATCACAGTAGTGAATAAAAATTATTTGTTAAAAAAGAACTCTGCAAACAAAACAGAAGTGAGCCTTTCAAGTCATGTGGTAGAACGAGAGCAGTAGAGAAAAAGCCACAATAGAAGAAATGAAGTCTCTGAACAATTGCTAAAGTGATGGAAAATAGATGTTCTCTCATCGTCCTCTTCATTCCTCTCATTCTGAAATAGACCACAAGTTTCGTTCAGAGCGGAATCGACTTCAAACGACGATTTGTGGGCATCAGGTTAGCACCTCAGTAAGCTACTGCTTGCCATACTACCTTGTTAATAGCACATGCTTGACTACATTTGTCCTCAAACTGTTTATTGTTGAATTCATTGTCTTCTTCTGGTCGGCAGCTTTACAGAATATTTGACTAATTTTCAACTCAGTTCCTTCTGTTGGTTTTCCGTGTTGTGATGGATAAATCTCCTAAGAAAGCACTAGGAAAACGCCTTGTGATGTTGTGCTGAACGTTCACTTTTGATCAACTTGTTTGCTGTTCTCTGTTGATGACACTGATCACGGTTCTTTCAGCAGTGTAGCTCATCGTCATCCAGTTTGAGTGCTACAGTGGGTGTTGGACAAAATGAGCGTAGATAGGGATTTTGTAAAAGAAGCGTGTGACGCAGGGAAAAATTCTGCACTCCAGTTAATTGTGGCTGATTAGGGTTAGGTCGCTGAACAATGTTGTTTTAGGATATGCCGGATTTTGGTGATGGCAGAACAGTGTTTTTTTTTTGATATGTCTCGTAATTTGAAGACGACTTACTATTCCGACGATTACAAGAGACTGGTTTCTGGGATTGTCCAAATTCCTCGGATTGCCTTCGGCTGCCTTCACACACTATTTGCAATGTGAAAGGCGAAATCGTCGAGCGATTGTGTCATGACGCATTGAAGCCGGGCTATTTCGATCGTTCTTTCGGATGAATTGGTTACAGGCAGTGAAATTTCAGACGCTCGTTACGAGAGAGTAGCAACGTGAAATGGACCCCTATTGAAATGTTCAACACAGAGAACGTATTGCCAAAGTTCATTGCTCACTAAACAAGTGGCGTTGAACGCCGTCATTTCATAGGTGTCAGTTTCATGAAATCTTTTCGGGACCGCCTGTTACCGATTATAAATAGATGGTGTACGTACACGAAAGGTTTCTTTAAGTCAAAACGCTATTTGCGAAATCGAAATGGTCTGACACTATTGCTTTTTTATTATAGGATTAAACTGAAAAGTTGTCCTCTTTTGTGCTCACTTGCATTCGCTTTTTCCATCTTCGCTTCGCCTCTGTGCTCTAATATTCTTAGTTCCGCAGTTGGTACATTCAATATTTTCGTGCACGACAGCCTAGAAATGGAGGCATTCAATTTTTTTCTGACATATTCAAAAAGATTAAGACATGTTTTCTTGGGAAAGATCGTTCTTCAATTAGTTCGTCCGAGCCACCTGGAGATCGAAAATATCCTTCAGTTGTAGGCTAATGATTGATATGCAAACAATCGGGAATCTCTATTTAAATCACTAATGAGCTCACTGTTCTCTCAAATGTAGAGATTACAGTTAAGATGTTGAACCCCTTTCTTTCTCTTGAGGAGAATTTTAGTGAATGCTCAAGTATGCAGACTACGAAACTTCTATGAAATCGCTTAAGTTAATAAAGGAGGCACTAACATTGATTTTCGCTGTCTCCTACTTAACACCACCTACTCTAAGCGATACTATTCTTATTCATTGGTAGGAAGAGAAGTTAGGTAAAATATTAGTTGTCCAGAACCTCTCTACCATAGTCTTTCGTTCCCTAGTTTAATAGCTGAGTGTAGCTGAAAGGTATTTGTGGATGTCGAATTGCCACACACAGTTGTGGTTCATCTCGAGCAAGACTACCCCAGTTGAGAGAGAGTTTGACATTTTCGTCTAGATGTGTTAAGAGTGCCATGGTAAGGTTTTGTGAGTTATCGTTGACTG